TCCTGGGCACAGCCCCTCTCTTCCCAGCCCCCATCCTGGGCACAGCCCCTCTCTTCCCGGCCTGGATCCTGGGCACAGCCCCTCTCTTCCCAGCCTGGATCCTGGGCACAGCTCCTTTCTCCCCACCAGGTCCTGGGCACAGCCCCTGCTGGCCTCTGCATCCTGGGAGGTGGCCCTCCTGGTTGGGATGTCTAGGTTTGTGCATGGGCTGCATGACGGCAGGCACTCTCCTGCCGACAGGTGCAAATGTAATGGGCCCACTTGTGTCACCTTCTCCTGGCCCTCTTCTTCATCCAGTGACTGGCCTCTGGGTCACTTTGAGGGAGCGGGATGTAAGTAACCACTGAGGGCAGAGGCTGGACCCTCCCTTCAGAGCCACCTGACAGGCCCCTGGCGTGCCCTATGCCGCGCCATCCCAGCTGGGCCTGCTGGTACCCCCTGCGCCTCCAGAGTGCCCATGCCTGTGCTCTATTCTGGGGCATGCTGGGAGCTGGGGGAACTGATGGATGGAGCCTCCCACCGACCTAAGGATTCCAAGGAAAAGGGAGAACCAGAGGGGAGAGGCATGCCCTAGCCCCCTAAACTGCCATGCACCTGTCCCCACACCAACCGCACCCATGCTGCCTGAGCAGACCCTCACCCCAAACCAGGAAGAGGGTGCGGTGGCAGGCAGAGCTTCTCTGCACCGGCCCTGTGGGCTCTGCGCCTGTCAGCCCAGCACCACCCTTCCAGGCTCCAGAGCGCAGCCAATGCCCAGCACTTCCGAGGCAGCTCCTGCACAGCTGTCCAGGTGTCAGCTGTTACCACGGGGCAGCTGGAACTCACTGCTGCCTCCCTCTAGTAGCACACTGGTTTTTTTTTTTTTTTTCCAGTGAAAAGAAGCGATGTTGAAAACAGCCTTGACTGGGCTTGGTGGTTCATGCCTATAATCCCAGCACTTTGGGAGGCTGAGGCAGGTGGATCATGAGGTCAGGAGTTCAAGACCAGCCTGGCCAAGATGGTCAAACCCCGTCTCTACTAAAAATACAAAAAATCAGCTGGGCATGGTGGCGGGTGCCTGTAATCCTGGCTACTCGGGAGGCTGACAAAATTGCTTGAACCTGGGAGGCGGAGGTTGCAGTGAGTAGAGATCGTGCCAATGCACTCCAGCCTGGGCGATGAGGGAGACTCCATCTCAACAAACAAACAAAAACAGCCCCAAGGCTTTTGCTGTCAGGATTCTGGACACTCCAAGCAGCCGCTCTGCCTTCCCCAGCACAAACCCTGGGGCTGCCGCAGCTGTCACCTCCCCCACCTTCCCAGGCGCCAGTGCCCCAGCCCACCCACACCCAACTGAGACCTGGGGGAGGGGTGTCACACCATCAAGCCCACCTCACTGAACCTTTTAGTGACACAGACTTTCCGAGGGGCACATCAGAAGTCAAGGCTCAAAGGTCTTGTTTCTGTTTCTGGTAGTGGAGAGGATGTTGGGCTGGGCCTCAAGAGAAAACCTCTGTGTGTGCCAAGTGGGTGCTGGCCAGGGAATGTTCCTCGGAATGCACTTCCTTTCAGCCCCCAGGAGCCTGAGTGCCCACTGACCTGCAGCCACTGCTGCCCTGAGCTGAGCCTCCCAGGTCAGGGGGGCTTCAGGGAGCATACTCCAGGTAGCAGGGTGATTCACCCCAAGACAGGCCATCAACTGAAATTCCCAAAGAATTCACTTTGGGACCCCCCACGTGCGGGGTCCCTCATAGACAAGGGCTCTTCGGGGAGACCCCATCTGAGGAACGCGTCCCCAGGAACTGAGGCGGAAGAAGAGAGGCCTGGAGCCTGCCCCAGAGCTGCCCTGGGGCACCTGCTACTCACTCTTGTAGCTCCAGTGGATGCTGGTGACCTGGATCTCCTGCGTGGGGATGTACTCCTCCACGAACGGCCTGCCCTGCAGGCGGTGCCACAGTGCCGTCTTGCCTGTGTTCCTGTCTCCCCGGATCACTATTTTCACTGGGGTGCGAGGAGAAACACAAAAGGCAGATCAGGGACGACCAGCCAGATTCAAGCTGCGGCTTCAGGAGCAACTACAAAGAGCCGGTTTTGCCACCTCTCGTTTTCTCTTTCTTGCCTGAATCAGACCCAGGGACTGGCAGGCAGGCAGGAAGAGGACAGTGGGCACCAACAGCGGCCTCCCCTACCACAAGGACACCTGGCGGCGTGCAGAGCATTGACAGCGACCGGGGCCTGAAGGGCAGCTGGGGGTCCCCCTGGGCTGAGGCCACAACCCGAGCCAGGCTGGCTTTCTACTTGGAGGACACGGTTCTGCCCTGGAGCCGAACCCTGGGACCCCTGGTGACCCTCAGGCTTCCGTGGATTGCTCCTAACCAAGCTTTCTGTGGCCCTGGCATTTTCAGTGATCAACTCTATAAAGCGCTGGGCCGGCATCCCAGCTCGCACACAACCCATGCGTGCTGGGCAGCACAGGGTCCGGGTTTGCTCACTCCAGGGCTGCACTGGAGAGGCCGCTGCCCAGCTGGTTTTGAAAATGGGACGCAGGAGAGAAGGCAGCTGGGAGGGGAGCATGGGGTTAGCAAAGACGGGCAGTGTGGCTCAGAACAGGTGGAGATGGGGACGGACCTGCGCACGACTGGAGGAAGAACGGACAGCCTGTGGAGGTGTTGGAAGAAGAATGGGACAGAGAATGACTCTGAGGTTTCTGGCTCAAGAAGCTGCGCAGACGGCAGTAGCTAGCACTGAGATAGCTGCCCTCAGACCTGGGCAGACCCCCAAGGGCTTCTCACACAGGTCTTTTGAACCATGGGCATGGAGAGAGCAAACGCACAGCCTCTTCAGGGTTTTCACGAGGGGAGAGCCAGGGAAGGTGCTGGGAAGTAGAGGGGGGTGCAGAGGAAACCAGGAGGCCAAGGAGGTGGTCTGCAGGTTCCTTCCACTTCCCCAGGCGTCCCCCGCTTTGTCAGGTCTGCAGGTTCCTTCCACTTCCCCAGGCGTCCCCCGCTTTGTCAGGTCTGCAGGCTTCTCCCACTTCCCCAGGTGTCCCCCCACTTCGTCAGGTCTGCAGGCTCCTCCCACTACCGCAGCCACTCCCTACGTCTTCAGTCAGGGAGACCCCAAGCTCCCAATGCAGAGGGCACCTGGCTGGCTCCTCTCTCGTGGCCCAGTCCCCTCTTCCCACCTCAAGGCGCCTGTTTCCTCATTTCTTTTCCCACGAAACTTACTCATTAGCATCCTCACCCCGTTCTAGGAATCTCAACACACCACTTTCTGTCTGGAGGTTTCAGTCAGTCATTCTCTCAAACTTTAAATGTCTCGGATGAGATCTCAGAAGGGGCCTGCCCGCCCCATGACAAAGCGCAGGCGACACAGGTGCCCTCCTGGCCACGATGGCGGCCGCACAGGCCAGGGCAGTCTGGGGGCTCCGCGCTCCCCTCTCCTTCCCCTCCCTGTCTCGCTGAGGACTCGGCAGACAGAGGCCAAACGGCCACCCAAGGCCTCCAGGAGCCCCGGCCCAGCCCGCGGAGAGCAAAGCAGCCCCCAGATGAGCCATGGGCGCTCAGCAGAGCCGGGAAGGAGCCAGACCCTGGGATGTCCGAGATGGGCAGCGGCATCCTCCCTCCCTCCCCCGTCCCGCAGCCCCCCTCCCCGCTCAGGCGGCCATGCGCAGTGCTCCCTGTCAAGGCCTTTTCCCGGGGTGGGGCTTCAGCCACCCCGCCCCCCGCCCTGCCCGTGGCCAGAACCCACACGCTCACATCCCCGCGTCCCAGCGTCTGGGTTCCTGAACTCTACTGGACAGAAAATTCAGTTTCTTTTGTAAAAATGACATATGCTCTTTGGAAGGAACTTAAGGTTGACAAGTGCCAGAATGAACATTCACGAAGCCTCCAAATGCCACTGCCGGAAACCTGCCCTCATGAAGTTGGGGGGCTCACTCCAGGCATCTGGCCACAGCTTTGCCTTTTTCAGAATGTTGGAGAGTTGGGGTCACACAGAATAATTTCTCTCAGTGATAGCACTTAAGGCCGCCTGCCTTTCCAAGGCTCGAGAACATCTTTTCAGGACTAAGTGATGTCCCATCCCCTGGATGCACAGGTCATTTCTCCATTCATCCACTGAAGAGCATCTTGGCTGCATTCTTCCTTCAATTTCTACAGATATTTTTCTTTTTTTCTTTGTAATTCATATTCTTTAGCTATTGGAACACCCACACTGAGCCTCTATTTTTTTTCCATATCATTTACCACCTGTCATTGTGCTGTGAGATGTTTCCTTTATTCTCTAAACCTTCCTTTGATTTTATTTTTGCTTTTGAAAAATTATTTGTTTTTACAAACACGGTCTCACTCTGTCGACAGGCCACAGGCATCACAATGGCAGATCCCAGCTCACTGCAGCCTCAATCTCCTGGGCTCAAGTGATCCTCCCACCCTGGCCTCCCGAGTAGCTCGGACTACAGATACCCGCCAGCTAATTTTTCTTTTTTTTCGGAGACGGAGTCTCACGTTGTTGCACAGGCTGGAATGCAGTGTGTGATCTTGGCTCACTACAACCTCCACCTCCCAGATTCAAGGGATTCTCTTGCCTCAGCCCCCCGAGTAGCTAGGATTATGGGTGCATGCCACCATACCTGGCTAATTTTTTGTATTTTAGTAAAGACAGGGTTTCACCATGTTGCCCAGGCTGGTCTCGAACTCCTGAGCTCAGGCAATCCACCTGCCTCAGCCTCCCAAAGTATTAGGATTACAGGTGTGAGCCACCGTGCCCAGCCTAACTTTTTTACTTTTTCTTAGAGAGACGGGGTCTCACTTTTTCCCCAGGCTTGTCTGGGGTAAAAGAAGCAGCTATCAGAAGTAACACAGTCCAGGATGGAGCTGCTAGGATAAATAACTGAGCATACTGACATACCGATTCTTTGAAGAGAAATGCAGAACTCATTGCATCCAACACTGGTCAGAGCCAAGGCATTCAGAACTCTTTATATTATTATTTAAGAGGAAAAGAAAGCAATTTATTAACTTCACACTTTACTACAGCAAATGTGAATGTGAATCCCAAAGTGCTGGGATTACAAATGTGAGCCACAGCCCGGCGAGGTGGCTCACACCTCTAATCCCAGCACTTTGGGAGGCCGAGGAGAGCAGATCACGAGGTCAAGAGATCGAGACCATCCTGGCCAGCATGGCGAAACCCCGTCTCTACTAAAAATACAAAAATGAGCTGGGCGTGGTGGCACACGCCTGTAGTCCCAGCTACTTGGGAAGCTGAGGCAGGAGAAGTGCTTGAACCCGGGAGGTGGAGGTTGCAGTGCAAGATTGTACCACTGCACTCCAGCCTGGTGACAGAGCAAGACTTTGTCTCAAAAAAAAAAAAAGTGTGAGCCACTGTGCCTGGCCCCCGGTGCTTTTTGAATTCCACTCCCGTCTTTCGAGCTCAATTCCACCTCTGAAGAACAGCCTTCAGTATTATTTCTGCAGGAGCCTTTGCACAGTGAGCCTCAATCTTAGGCTGCAGTGGCGTTGGTCACATTGCTCTGAAGAGCTCATCAGGCAGAGACCTCAGCCCACAACAGCCTTCTCACACACACGGTTTGCTGGGAGTTGGTCACCAGTTCACCACGTGTTCCTCTCAGGGAAGTCTTTTTGCTCTGGTTGTAACCATCTAAGAGGTTTACTTTTTAATATTTTGAAAATTTCCAGTGATGTATCTAGCTGTGATGTCTTTTAACTATGGACTTGGACTTCCTGCAGCGTCATGTATTTCATGAACTCTGGAAAATCCTCAGTCTTCACTTTCTCCTTTCCCGCTCTCGTCTCCTCCTGGAACTTGCACTGGGCACGGGCTGGCATCGCCGCCTCCCTGGGCCACACGTCTCTTCCAGACACTGCTCCTCTCTTCAGCTGAGTGAGTGCTGCTTCTCCTGTCTGCTGACTCTTTTAACTGCTAATGACCATGTTGTTCATTTCTAGAGGTTTTCATTCTCTTCGGTTCTTTTTCAAACAGAAATTGTCTACGCGTGGTCTTTTTCATTAATGTTTTACTTATAATTTACATATTATGGGCACCCAGTCTTGATCTAGTCTTAAGGTTGCTCCCTTTCTTTTGCATCTTTATCAATTTTAACAAACATTTGTTTTCTACTATCTTCAGGTTTTGAGAATGAAGTCTTATTTTCTCTCCCTTGAAATAAAATTTACCCCTTTTAAAAGCTAATTACCCATAAATATACACACCTACTATATGGCTACATACTTTTGTAAAAAAAAAAAAAAAAAAAAAGCTAATCACAAAAAATCCTGTAACATCATGTAAGGTAAATTAATCCGGCTTATTTCATTGTTTGTTTATTTTCAGATGGAGTCTTGCTCTGTCACCCAGGTTGGAGTGCAGTGGCCAATCTCCGCTCACTGCAGCCTCTGTCCCCTGCGTTCCAGCGATTCTCCTGCCTCCGCCTCCTGGGTAGCTGGGACTACAGGCACACACCACCACACCTGGCGAATTTTTGTATTTTTAGTGGAGACGGGGTTTCACTGTGTTGGCCAGGCTGGTCTCAAACTCCTAACCTCAAGTGATCCACCCGCCTCGGCCTCCCAAAGTGCTGGGATTACAGGAGTGAGCCACTGTACCCAGGTTAGGCTGGTCACGGTGGCTCTCTCCTGTAATCCCAGCACTTTGGGAGGCCGAGGCAGGTGGATCACTTGAGCCCAGGAGTTTGAGGCCAGCCTGGGAAACACGGTGAAACACTGTCTCCACAAAAATTACAAAACTCGGCCAGGCAATGGTAGCATGCACCTGCAGTCCCAGCTATTCAGGCGGCTGAGGTGGGAGGCCTGCTTGAGCCTGGGCGGTGAAAGCCGCAGTGAGTCAAGATTGCACTACTGCACTCCAGTTCGGGCAAAAGAGCACGACCCTACCTCAAAAAAAAAAAAAAAAAAAAAAAAATCAAATCAATTTCAGAACCTTTTTTTTCCTCCCGCTGGTTCCTTGATCTTAGGTTT